AAAAAACATGTTTTCCCGTCTCAAGAGGTAAAATAAAAAAATGGACTATAGTAAGTGCCTAAGATCTTCAGACAGCACAGTGTCCAATTCCACTGCTACGTAGACTACACACAGGTGTACAGTACATTATAACCAAGGCTGACACATCTTCCCTGTCAACCTTGTCCAACTGTCTGGAAGAAGGTAAAATCTTGGATGCAGAACAACTTCCTCCAACTCAACAGCAGCAAGACAGAGGCTATGCTGATATTCACCCTCCAGCAGATTACCAACTCCTGCAGCACCATCTGACCTGCCATAGACGGACACATCATTCCCCTCTCCTCAGTCATCACCAACCTGGGTGTGAAATTCGACCCTTTTCTCTCGTAATGCCCACATTAGTCACGTCTGTAAAACGTCATTCTCCCGCCTAAGACACTCTCTCACCACTTCTGATGCAGAAAAGCTTATCCATGCATTCGTTTTCTCCAGAATTGATTATGGGAATGCAGCACTTGGGGGCCTGCCTGCAAACTCAATTAATAAATTACAGCTCATTCAAAACAGTGCTGCAAGGATTCTGACACACACAACAAAAAGTCTGCCCACATCACCCCCAACCTTGCTGACCTCCATTGGCTTCCTGTCCCTCAAAGAATTGACTTAAACATTCGCCTCCTGGTCTACAAAGCCCTAAATGGCATCGGACCTGCCTACCTGTCAGATCTATACTTTCCCCCTATGAACCGCCACGCACGCCAAACTACTTCATGCACCCAGAATCCGGCTCAGAACAATGGGGGACTGTTCCTTTTCCTCCCATGCACCACGCCGTTGGAACGCCATTCCTGACAATCTCAGGGCAGTTCAGACTGTTGGGGCTTAAGTCTCATCGTTATTGGCTGGCCTACCCTTCCTCCTAGACTTTGATTGTTGTTGTTTTTATATATTTTTTTTTACTTTTTACCCCCTTTTCTCCCCAATTGGCAGTTACAGTCTTGTCCCATCGCTGCAACTCCTGCACGGACTCGGGAGAGGCGAAGGTCGAGAGCCATGCATCCTCCGAAACATGACCCCCTCCAAGCCGCACTGCTTCTTGACACACTGCCCGCTTAACCCGGAAGCCAGACGCACCAATGTGTCGGAGGAAACACTGTACCGCTGGCGACCGAAGTCAGCGTGCATGCACCCGGCCGCCACAAGGAGTCGCTAGAGCGCGATGGGACAAGGACATCCCAGCCGGCCAAACTCTCCCCTAACCCGGACGACGCTGGGCCAATTGTGCGCCGCCTCATGGGTCTCCTGGTCGGGGCCGGATGCGACACAGCCCGGGATCGAACCCGGATCTGTAGTGACGCCTCTAGCACTCCGATGCAGTGCCTTAGACCGCTGCGCAACTCGGGAGGCCCTGAATGTTGCTTTTATGATATGGTTATATATACAGTACCACTCAAAGGTTTGGACACACCTACTCAATCCAGGGTTTTTCTTTATTTTTACTATTTTCTACATTGCAGAATAAAAGTGATGACATCAAAACTATGAAATAACACATATGGAATCATGTAGTAACCAAAAAAGTGTTAAACAAATCAAAATATATTTTATATTTGAGATTCTTCAAAGTAGCCACCCTTTGCCTTGATGACATCTTTGCACACTTGGCATTCTCTCAACCAGCTTCATGAGGAATGCTTTTCCAACAGTCTTGAAGGAGTTCCCACATATGCTGAACACTTGTTGGCTGCTTTTCCTTCACTCTGCGGTCCAACTCATCCCAAACCATCTCAATTGGGTTGAGGTCAGGTGATTGTGGAGGCCAGGTCATCTGATGCAGCACTCCATCACTCTCATTGGTCAAATAGCCCTTACACAGCCTGGAGGTGAGTTTGGGGTCATTGTCCTGTTGAAAAACAAATGATAGTCCCACTAAGCCCAAACCAGATGGGATGGCGTATCTCTGCAGAATGCTGTGGTAGCAATGCTGGTTAAGTGTGCCTTGAATTCTAAATAAATCACAGACAGTGTCACCAGCAAAGCACCCCCACACCATCACACCTCCTCCTCCATGCTTCAAGGTGGGAACCACACATGCAGAGATCATCCGTTGGTTGGAACCAAAAATCTCAAATTTGGACTCATCAGACCAAAGGACAGATTTCCACCGGTCTAATGTCCATGAACTTATCCTCTGCAGCAGAGTTACCTCTGGGTCTTCCTTTCCTGTGGCGGTCCTCATGAGAGCCAGTTTCATCATAGCGCTTGATAGTTTTTGTGACTGCACTTGAAGAAACTTTCAAAGTACTTTTTCCAGATTGACTGACCTTCATGTCTTAAAGTAATGATGGACTGTCTTTTCTCTTTGCTTATTTGAGCTGTTCTTGCCAAATAGGGCTATCTTCTGTATACCACCCCTACCTTGTCACAACACAACTGATTGGCTCAAACACATTAAGAAGGAAAGAAATTCCACAAATTAACTTTTAACAAGGCACACCTGTTAATTCAAATGCATTCCAGGTGACTACCTCATGAAGCTGGTTGAGAGAATGCCAAGAGTGTGTAAAGCTGTCATCAAGGCAAAAATCCAGAAAATCACATTGTATGATTTGTAAGTAATTAATTTGCATTTTATTGCATGACATAAGTATTTGATCACCTACCAACCAGTAAGAATTCCGTCTCTCACAGACCTGTTCGTTTTTCTTTAAGAAGCCCTCCTGTTCTCCACTCATTACCTGTATTAACTGCACCTGTTTGAACTCATTACCTGTATAAAAGACACCTGTCCACACACTCAATCAAACAGACTCCAACCTCTCCACAATGGCCACGACCAGAGAGCTGTGTAAGGACATCAGGGATTAAATTGTAGACCTGCACAAGGCTGGGATGGGCTACAGGACAATAGGCAAGCAGCTTGGTGAGAAGGCAACAACTGTTGGCGCAATTATTAGAAAATGGAAGAAGTTCAAGATGACGGTCAATCACCCTCGGTCTGGGGCTCCATGCAAGATCTCATCTCGTGGGGCATCAATGATCATGAGGAAGGTGAGGGATCAGCCCAGAACTACACGGCAGGACCTGGTCAATGACCTGAAGAGAGCTGGGACCACAGTCTCAAAGAAAACCATTAGTAACACACTACGCCGTCATGGATTAAAATCCTGCAGCGCACGCAAGGTCCCCCTGCTCAAGCCAGCGCATGTCCAGGCCCGTCTGAAGTTTGCCAATGACCATCTGGATGATCCAGAGGAGGAATGGGAGAAGGTCATGTGGTCTGATGAGACAAAAATAGAGCTTTGTGGTCTAAACTCCACTCGCCGTGTTTGGAGGAAGAAGAAGGATGAGTACAACCCCAAGAACACCATCCCAACCATGAAGCATGGAGGTGGAAACATCATTCTTTGGGGATGCTTTTCTGCAAAGGGGACAGGACGACTGCACCATATTGAGGGGAGGATGGATGGGGCCATGTATCGCGAGATCTTGGCCAACAACCTCCTTCCCTCAGTAAGAGCATTGAAGATGGGTCGTGGCTGGGTCTTCCAGCATGACAACGACCCGAAACACACAGCCAGGGCAACTAAGAAGTGGCTCCGTAAGAAGCATCTCAAGGTCCTGGAGTGGCCTAGCCAGTCTCCAGACCTGAACCCAATAGAAAATCTTTGGAGGGAGCTGAAAGTCTGTATTGCCCAGCAACAAGGTCTGTATGGAGGAGTGGGCCAAAATCCCTGCTGCAGTTTGTGCAAACCTGGTCAAGAACTACAGGAAACGTATGATCTCTGTAATTGCAAACAAAGGTTTCTGTACCAAATATTAAGTTCAGCTTTTCTGATGTATCAAATACTTATGTCATGCAATAAAATGCAAATTAATTACTTAAAAATCATACAATGTGATTTTCTGGATTTTTGTTTTAGATTCCGTCTCTCACAGTTGAAGTGTACCTATGCTAAAAATTACAGACCTCTACATGCTTTGTAAGTAGGAAAACCTGCAAAATCGGCAGTGTATCAAATACTTGTTCTCCCCACTGTATATAATATATTTTGATTTGTTTAACACTTTTTTGATTACTACATGATTCCATATGTGTTATTTCATAGTTTTGATGTCTTCACTATTATTATACAATGTAGAAAATAGTAAAAATAAAGGAAAACCCTGGAATGAGTAGGTGTTTCCAAACCTTTGACTGGTACTGTATATAGTTGTATTTTATTTTATATTTTATTATATGCACTTGTATAATGAAAAGGGCTTTATAAATGTAATACATTATTATTATTATTATTAATATTATTATTAAGTGCCAGACAATGTAACAGGGTTGACGATTTTATCTTAAATCAGCCATAAATCCCCTTGTGACATGGGGAATAGAAGCTTCTTGTGTACAACAGAGAGTGGCAATTGAATGCAAGCTTCACAAATTATTTTGTATTGTTAAAACAAGCTAGCCTGTCTTTCTATGGGTAACAGGGTTGACGTGTTATGCTCGATCTGCTCAGTTTTCCACCACAGTACAACCAGCTCACCTGCTTTTACACTAAGATTTGACTATTAGATGTTCAATGTTTTTTAGATAAAAATATTTAAAAAGGAATAGTTTCATCATATGAAATCGAGAGTTCAGTTCATGTAACAGGGTTGACCATAACATGAGGATTAGATGTAAATGAATCACTAATCACATGATATAAATAATAATCTTCAGAAAGGACTTTGTCAAAGCAACAAAATAACTAGGGCTTTACAATGATGGTGAAATGTTGGGGTTAAGTGGGTGACAATCTACCTAGAAGGTCCAGAAGGTACATGGAGGGGCATGTCAAAATGCAGAATTTTGGCACTTTAGGAAGTTTTTATTTAAAAAAAGATTTATTGAAGTCTCCATGTGGTCTATATTAAAGGGCACAATTTCTTTTTAAAATATCAAAGGGTTGCAAAAAGCACTCTGTTCGTGGACCGACCCAGTGAGCTATGCATGTTTCTAGTCCGTCCCCCTGATAAGCTCATCGCAGATCAGTGCCTACAGGCAACCATCCAGTCCCTGTCATACTCACAGGCATCGGCCCCACAGTCAGGCGATGGAAGTGGGTGTCCTCAGCAGAGAGACCCTTGTGGGGGGTGTAGCCAGCTTCTGTCAGCCCTGCCTGGAGCTCAAACCTCTGGAGGCTCTCCTGGGTTTGCTCTGAAGGACCAAGGATGGGCTCACAGTGAGGAGTAGGACAGACATTATGGTGTACTAGTCTAGCATAATCGAATACAATGATATCATGTAATCCCATCCCATTGTGGAATATATGTAATTCCTCTATAGTACAGTAACTATAACATCTATTCCAATAGTTCCATATTGTATGAGAAGAATGACAATGTGATTGTGTTTGTTTTCCTACTTACTGATCATGAGTGTGTTCATGAGAGAGGAGGCTTTGGCCTTTACCACAGGGACAGGGGGCTTGACCGGTGCTGCTGCTGCCGCATCAAACTGACCGGACGAGAAGGTCAGTGTCTTCCCAGTCTCACTCTCTTCCTCCTGGACACAACAACAGGCTAATGGGTTTCATATTAACACCATAGTATGTGCTTAATGCAGAGGTCACTCTCCCAGCAACGGTTCATTAAACTCTACAGACAATAGTGATAATCTCGGCCAGGTTGGACATTGAATGTTACAGTTGAATTTATAAACTTCAATACTGTATGTAGTAACAGAGTAGAAAATTCAGCCAAAGCAAAATAATAAATAAATCAGCATCTTAGCATAAGCATGTTTTCACAAATGCTTGAAACATTTGATTATGCTTTGTTTGATTATGCTTTTTTAAAACCAGTTAAAAGTAACTAAATGTAATCTACGTAATCCCCAAAAGTAATTATTTATCATGAGAGGGCCATCAAAAATAACTAGTCATGCTGCATACTCCAAGAAAGGATCAAATCTTACCTTTCAGGTAAAAATAGTTATATATTGCTGAGATGTAGTCACTTTTGAGGACACAAACTCAAGTACACAGTACAAACATGATACAAATATGACATATTTTATGACATATTTCCTATTAAAAACGGTATGAATAAGGCTTGAAATGACTTATATGCTTTCTAAATATAGCATAATCAACAAAACAAGTAACTATACGATTTAACCTTGCTTATAACTGTAAAATACATATTTGTGTCTTTAGTATTAGAGAAAATTTGCATATTTTCTAAAGATCTCTCTTGATCAAAATGTCTGCCCCCACCACTGTGAAAGTCAGACAGAGCTCTAACTTGGCTTCCTGAACTCGTTAGGAACTTGCGTTTCATCTCCTATTAATATTGTCTGTCTATGACAAACAGAAAGTGTTTTTTTGTTTAAAATCTATGAATCTATGAAAAAGGAACACCTACAGTGGGGAAACAAGTATTTGATACACTGCCGATTTTGCAGGTTTTCCTACTTACAAAGTATGTAGAGGTCTGTAATTTTTTGCATAGGTACACTTCAACTGTGAGAGACGGAATCTAAAATCAAAAATCCAGAAAATCACATTGTATGATTTTTAAGTAATTAATTTGCATTTTATTGCATGACATAAGTATTTGATCACCTACCAACCAGTAAGAATTCCGACTCTCACAGACCTGTTAGTTTTTCTTTAAGAAGCCCTCCTGTTCTCCACTCATTACCTGTATTAACTGCACCTGTTTGAACTTGTTACCTGTATAAAAGACACCTGTCCACACACTCAATCAAACAGACTCCAACCTCTCCACAATGGCCAAGACCAGAGAGCTGTGTAAGGACATCAGGGATAAAATTGTAGACCTGCACAAGGCTGGGATGGGCTACAGGACAATAGGCAAGCAGCTTGGTGAGAAGGCAACAACTGTTGGCGCAATTATTAGAAAATGGAAGAAGTTCAAGATGACGGTCAATCACCCTCGGTCTGGGGCTCCATGCAAGATCTCACCTCATGGGGCATCAATGATCATGAGGAAGGTGAGGGATCAGCCCAGAACTACACGGCAGGACCTGGTCAATGACCTGAAGAGAGCTGGGACCACAGTCTCAAAGAAAACCATTAGTAACACACTACGCCGTCATGGATTAAAATCCTGCAGCGCACGCAAGGTCCCCCTACTCAAGCCAGCGCATGTCCAGGCCCGTCTGAAGTTTGCCAATGACCATCTGGATGATCCAGAGGAGGAATGGGAGAAGGTCATGTGGTCTGATGAGACAAAAATAGAGCTTTGTGGTCTAAACTCCACTCGCCGTGTTTGGAGGAAGAAGAAGGATGAGTACAACCCCAAGAACACCATCCCAACCGTGAAGCATGGAGGTGGAAACATCATTCTTTGGGGATGCTTTTCTGCAAAGGGGACAGGACGACTGCACCGTATTGAGGGGAGGATGGATGGGGCCATGTATCGCGAGATCTTGGCCAACAACCTCCTTCCCTCAGTAAGAGCATTGAAGATGGGTCGTGGCTGGGTCTTCCAGCATGACAATGACCCAAAACACACAGCCAGGGCAACTAAGGAGTGGCTCCGTAAGAAGCATCTCAAGGTCCTGGAGTGGCCTAGCCAGTCTCCAGACCTGAACCCAATAGAACATCTTTGGAGGGAGCTGAAAGTCCGTATTGCCCAGCGACAGCCCCGAAACCTGAAGGATCTGGAGAAGGTCTGTATGGAGGAGTGGGCCAAAATTCCTGCTGCAGTGTGTGCAAACCTGGTCAAGACCTACAGGAAACGTATGACCTCTGTAATTGCAAACAAAGGTTTCTGTACCAAATATTAAGTTCTGCTTTTCTGATGTATCAAATACTTATGTCATGCAATAAAATGCAAATGAATTACTTAAAAATCATACAATGTGATTTTCTGGATTTTTGTTTTAGATTCCGTCTCTCACAGTTGAAGTGTACCTATGATAAAAATTACAGACCTCTACATGCTTTGTAAGTAGGAAAACCTGCAAAATCGGCAGTGTATCAAATACTTGTTCTCCCCACTGTATGTGAGAATGCTGTTCATTGACTATAGCTCAGCGTTCAACACACAACGCTCATCACTAAGCTAAGGACCCTAGGACTAAATACCTCCCTCTGGATCCTGGACTTCCTGACGGGCTGCCCCCAGGTGGTAAGGGTAGGCAACAACACATCTGCCACGCTGATCCTCAACACGAGGGCCCCTCAGGTGTGCGTGCTTAGTCCCCTCCTGTACTACCTGTTCACCCATGACTGCGTGGCCAAGCACAACTCCAACACCATCATTAAGTTTGCTGACGACACAACAGTGGTAGGCCTGATCACCGACAACGATGAGACAGTCTATAGGGAGGAGGTCAGAGACCTGGCAGTGTGGTACCAGGTCAACAACCTCTCCCTCATTGTGAGCAAGACAAATGAGCTGATCGTGGACTACAGGAAAAGGAGGGCCGAACAGCCCCCCATTAACATCGACGGGGCTGTAATGGAGCGTGGTCGAGAGTTTCAAGTTCCTTGGTGTCCACATCACCAACAAACTATCATGGTCCAAACACACCAAGACAGTCGTGAAGAGGGCACGACAACACCTTTTCCCCCTAAGGAGACTGAAAAGATTTGGCCTGGGTCCCCAGATCCTCAAAAACTTCTACAGCTGCACCATCGAGAGCATCCTGACCGGTTGCATCACCGCCTGGTATGGCAACTGCTCGGCATCCGCTACTCGCTGTTTATTATCACTTTACCCATACCTACATGTACAAATTACCTCGACTAACCTGTAGCCCCGCACATTGACTCGGTACCGGTACCCTCTGTATATAGCCTCGTTATTGTTATTTTATTGTGTTACTTTTAATTTAATTTTGTAACTTTAGTTTATTTAGTAAATATTTTCTTAACTCTATTTCTTGAACTGCATTGTTGGTTAAGGGCTTGTAAGTGAGCATTTCACGGTAAGGTCTACACCTGTTGTATTCGGCGCATGTGACAAATACAATTTGATTTGATTTATTTTAGATTACTTTGATCAAGTTGGCTATAAATCGATTTCTGAATGTGCTCTCCTGCTGCGCTACGATGTAAGGATTGCAGGCATGTGCTTTGTCAGTGGCTGTGACATAGGGTTCAGCCAGGAGCTGGACAGTTGGAAGAGTGAATTAAAGGATAGGAAGGACATCCCAGCTTCAAGTGGTGTCAGATTTCACATCCTACATCACACAGGCGGAAAATATATACTCCTGTGTCTGTGAGAACCAGGGCTACCGCTCATTCTCAAAGCAAGCCATTTCGATCTACGTGTCCACAGATCGATTTATAAGATAAAATGTCGGTTAGAACCAGTACCAGAACCACGTAGGTTCCCTTAACGGGGCACTTTCCATCTAAGAGCACAATAGATCCCATTCAGATCAAACAGGCCTGGCCTTGTAAGGACATATTTAGGTGGTGCACCTCAGCAATCCTCTTGAACTTCCTCTGTGGGATGAGAGGGTCCTTCCAGGGGTTGTTGACAATCATGTCAGTGGGAGGGGAGTGCATGGGTGCGTCCAGGGCCTCGTCATAGCTGAAGGCTCGTCGGGACATACCAATAGGGGATGAGAACCCCCCAAAGAATCCCCCAGATACACCAGACTCCAGTGCTGGATTTGGAGACAACAGCAATAGAAACATTAGAGAGGCTTTGAAGCCACCAGTCAGCCATATTGGCACTCCCCAGTAGGAGCAGTCCTCCATAGGAATGAATGAAATTCTGCAGTATTTCAATTAATGTTTCAAGGACAAAATTACATATATTTAAGTATTATTTAGTTGTAGTGGGGTCAGTACATTAGTACTCTCTAAAATAAATACTTTAAGGAAAATGTTTGTATATATTATTTCATATTGTTTTATGTTTAGCTCACACAATATAATTTTAAAGTATGCATTAAGTTGTCTGTAATAGAATAAACGTGTCAAAAACTAATGTAGGCATTTATAAAAGCATTTCTATAGCTTCCAAAATATTTTTTACAACGGAGGAGTACCAAGATGGCTGCACGTTGGCTTCAATACAGCACCCCCTGTCAGTCATCCAGGGTTTATACACATCATTGTGTGTTTCACATGTGATCCTTGAAGGAGGATGTTCATCATGTATTACCTGGTATATCACCCTGCCTGGATCCCATTCTGCAGTAAGTTGGACCAGGTTATCTATGAGAATCAAGGTGACTGTGGAGATCTTGACCGGCTTCCTAACCTGCAGAGTTCAGCAAAAAAAAACATCAGTAGATAATCACGGGGCAGAGATCCATAACGTGTCTCAGAGTAGGAGTGCTGATCTAGGATCAGTTTAGTATTTTAGATAATAATGAATAAAATTATCATAGATCAGCACTGCTCCTCAGACGTTTTGTGGATAAGGCCCTGATACAACAACAAAAAATGCTTTACGAATAACGTTTTGTGATGTGATGCTAAAATGAAAGAGGTTCAGCTCACTAATATTGAGTTTGCTATATGTTTGTTTTGGGAAGAGCACACTGTCTTGGGATGCATTCCAACCCCGCAGAATAGACCTGAGTCTGGTTACCAGAAGCCTAAGTTACAAAAGGTCACTACCTCAGAGAGTCATGTTGATGGAAGACAAGAAGTCTCACACATATGCCACACCACTATGTGTCTATGTCACAATACTATGCTACTATATCCACACCAGATTGAGATAATATTAAGCAAGTATCTACACTGTAAAAGAGAACTGTAAAATATTCCGTAATTCTGGGCATTTGCAACAATATTTTACTCTAAAATGTTTTACTGCAGCATACTGTAAATTATGTGCATTGTGGGAAAATGTTGTGGGCGGAGAAATAATCGCTGTATTTCTAATATTACTGTAATTCCACTCCACAGAATACAGTACTGTACCGTATCTTTGGAGCACCAAAAACCTTTTGACCACTAGTGGGTGCATGGTATTGTTGTTTCTGGCTCATTAACATATTTTGTGACGTGTCTTGTAAGAGGCTATATTTGTTGCACCTGTGAATGAGAATACTGTACCACTTTAACTCCTATGTGGTTATAGTGCCCCATCAATTTGTATAGGGGACAGCTTGGAGTGGCAGCAAGTCTTGAACCTTAAATGGTTGAGCATTTTTCTGTGTCCTTTTGGTCTGTTTTGCCCTGTAGTCACTGCCCGTTTTGAAGCCTTTGTTAAGGCCTCTAGAAGTGCAAGTGATATAAAACACAAACTAGTAATTTATGTAATGTGTAAACACTTTACCTAGCGGCCAATCTACTTGCACCAATCCTTTGCAATTATAGTAAAATACTGTGAAATACAAACCCCTCCCCTCAATGAATTTCATTCTTCATTCATCAATTCATGCATTCATCGGTGCCGGCAGGTAGCTTAGTGGTTAAGAGCGTTGTGCCAGTAACCGAAAGGTCGCTGGTTCTAATCCCCGAGCCGACTAGGTGAAAAATCTGTCGATGTGCCCTTGAGCAAGGCACTTAACCCTAATTGCTCCTGTAAGTCGCTCTGGATAAGAGCGTCTGCTAAATGACTAAAATGTTAATTCATTCATTCCGATTAAGGTAGCATTTACTTTGGTTGAGTATAATGCAGTAAATGTTACGTTATTGTACTGTGTGTCATTACACAGCACTTGCTTTGACACCGTATTTATATTACAGTAGGTGTACTGTAAAATGAAATAAATAATTTTACTTGCCACTGAGCTGCCTGTAAGCTACTGTGAAATTGCACCTGGGCTTTCATTTCCATGTTATCTACCACCAATCTTATCAACAGATCAGTAACATATGCTACTCTTTTAACCCCATTACCAAGATTCTATATCGTGAGAATGCTGAGTCAGTGGAGAGCATCTACCAACAGTAGGCATATATCATTGTAAACTATACTTTTTAGCTCCCGTTAGGCAGTAGGCTAACGGGAGCTAAAAAGCCACGTCTTTGCAGAACAAGAGAAACATGCGATTGTCTCGGTTGTGAAAGTCAAGACACCTTTACTGAAATTGACGTCAGCAGTAGCATGTGCCAGCTGGACAGTGACTTGCAAAAAGACAACGTGAAAGGCAGTATGGTAATGGTATGAAATTAATAGGAATACCCACGCCATAAAAATATCAATATTGTTATACCATGAATATTACAATTACAATAAAACATTATCATCGTTGTTGTTAATGTATTATTGCAGTTGCTGAATTAGTAAAATAGTAGGCTATCACAAATAAATATTTACAACCTTTATCCACGTGACGCAATCAAAGAACATGTATTGCTCATAATGATAGACTAAGTAAAATAAAACCATGACTAGATGCGGTTACATGAATCAGGATTTTTCCCCTCAACTTTGATGACAATATAGCCTACCTGCTCTGCCTCAATAAAGTCCACTCGCTGTCGCTACTCTGCTGCGTTAGACCCGATTTTTGTAATTTTGGTGAATCATCCATGACTTTTGGACAGGGGACGCAAATAAACACGTGCAGAGACAAGTGTCACACCAATGAGCAGACAATCCTCTACTGGAAATAACCGGAGTAATCATGCTGTGAGCAGGTTGACGTTTATTGACATGAATCTTGCCCTGGAGGCAGAACTGAGCGATTTCTTCTAGATGGGCCAGCTGCAAAGTCAAAACTGGCTATATCGTAAAAATCATGATTTAAGTTTAAGGCTAGGCATTAGTGTTAGCAATGTGGTTAAGGTTAGGGTTAGGTTTAAAATCACTCCGCAGAGCTGCCTCCATGCCAACCTGCATGCTGTCATGGGCAATGTTCTCTAATTTTTTGGGGCACTGAGAAAATGTCAGGTCTTGTAAGCAGAAACTTGAACGTTGTGAGAATTCTGTGCAAGTTTAAGTGCGTGTTTACAGTGAAAACTGAGGCTGTACCCGCTTGAAGTTACAGTTTTAGGCCTATCAGAGTAGCCTACCAATGGAGCGAATCCCATAACATTTTCACATGGAAATAGCTTTTGATTTCTATGATATAGCCTACACCTATGTGGTGTTCAATGAAGGCCTACATTCTATCATGAGACTTGTAAAAACTTGTTTGACTTGGTCTGTAACACAATGGGCCAAATACAGTTGAAGTCGGAAGTTTACATACACTTAGGTTGGAGTCATTAAAACTCATTTTTCAGCCACTCCACACATTTCTTGTTAACAAACTATAGTTTTGGCAAGTCGGTTAGGACATCTACTTTGTCCAGAAAATGATGTCATGGCTTTAGAAGCTTCTGATAGGCTAATTGACATCATTTGAGTCAATTGGAGGTGTACCTGTGGATGTATTTCAAGGCCTACCTTCAAACTCAGTGCCTCTTTGCTTGATATCATGGGAAAATCAAAATAAATCAGTCAAGACCTCAGAATTTTTTTTGTAGACCTCCAAAACTCTGGTTCATCCTTGGGAGCAATTTCCAAAAGCCTGAAGGTACCACGTTCATCTGTACAAACAATAGTACGCAAGTATAAACACCATGGGACCACGCAGCCGTCATACCGCTCAGGAAGGAGATGCGTTCTGTCTCCTAGAGATGAACGTACTTTGGTGCGAAAAGTGCAGATCAATCCCAGAACAACAGCAAAGGACCTTGTGAAGATGCTGGAAGAAACAGGTACAAAAGTATCCACAGTAAAACTAGTCCTATATCGACATAACCTGAAAGGCCGCTCAGCAAGGAAGAAGCCACTGCTCCAAAACCGCCATAAAAAAGCCAGACTACGGCTTGCAACTGCACATGGGGACAAAGATCGTACCTTTTGGAGAAATGTCCTCTGGTCTGATGAAACAAAAATAGAACTGTTTGGCCATAATGACCATCGTTATGTTTGGAGGTAAAGGGGGGCGGCTTGCAAGCCGAAGAACACCATCCCAACCGTGAAGCACGGGGGTGGCAGCATCATGCTATGGGGGTGCTTTGCTGCAGGAGGGACTGGTGCACTTCACAAAATAGATGGCATCATGAGGAAGGAAAATTATGTGGATATATTGAAGCAACATCTCAAGACATCAGTCAGGAAGTTAAAGCTTGGTCACAAATGGGTCTTCCAAATGGACAATGACCCCAAGCACACTTCCAAAGTTGGGGCAAAATGGCTTAAGGACAACAAAGTCAAGGTATTGGAGTGGCCATCACAAAGCCCTGACCTCAAACCTATAGAACATTTGTGGGCAGAACTGAAAAAGCGTTTTGCGAGCAAGGAGGCCTACAAACCTGACTCAGTTACACCAGCTCTGTCAGGAGTAATGGGCCAAGATTCACCCAACTTATTGTGGGAAGCTTGTGGAAGGCTACCCAAAATGTTTGACCCAAGTTAAACAATTTAAAGGCAATGCTACCAAATACTAATTGAGTGTATGTAAACTTCTGACCCACTGGGAATGTGATGAAAGAAATAAAAGCTGAAATAAATCATTCTCTCTACTATTATTCTGACATTTCACATTCTTAAAATAAAGTGGTGATCCTAACTGACCTAAGACAGGGAATTTTTACTAGGATTAAATGTCAGGAATTGTGAAAAACAGAGTTTAAATGTATTTGGCTAAGGT